GAGTTTCAGCTAAATTTCGAAAGTGTTCGGTTCCACTATTAACCCTCTCTTTGGAAAAAAATTGGCTGAAAAAATGGGGTGTTTATTGCCAGTAACTTCTACTAAAAGCTCAACTTGAGAAGGAGGGATTGTAAATGAGAAAATATATCCTGCAAGGGCATCTACACTGATCAGCAATCAACAAGTTATATTTTGTTTTTCATCAATACTCTGACTGAGGTTTTCTTGTGCGGAAGTTCCATTAAAACGCTCTAATAAAAAATTGTCCAAATTAAACAACATCCTTAGGTAGATCAGGTTACATAATGGACATGTTTTTATAGCTCTAGAGGAAATTTCAATTGAGCGTATTGGTTTTGCTTCTCTAATTGGACGACCTAGAATATACACTATCTTCTTCACCAATACGATGAAAAACTTAAAGCAATAACGACTCGGTTACTTACATCTTCCCGCGCTCGGGTCAATTTTCTTGCTTTACATTCTCATTTCTCATAGGCTCCATATCTCATTCTCCTTTGTTCTGATTGGCAGTCGAATGAGCCTCTATTTTCGTGCTAACCCTAAACAAGTTACCTGAATATCCGTACAGCTCCATCCTCATTGAAATGTGGTTAGGCCAAGTCCATGGAATGACCCGGATGTAACGCACCTTCATGGGAAAGGTTAGCTTGTGATTTACGACAGTGTCTCTGTCATTGTTTGCTGCAAAGAGCTGAAAGGAAAAGACACTTAAAAAACCATAACATTCCAAAGATTAACCTGAACTTGCAAAAGATTGTTTTCAGATATGGTAAATAATCGATTATCGATTACCAGATTACTAGCTCGGTCGTCGTTCCAAATGAACAAAAGACGAAAACATGTGAAAAAGCAACAGTTTTCAAACAAAACTGCGTCGGTGTGAAAGGTATCTAATTGTCAAATGGTCAGGTTCTGTGAGGACAATCCTCATAACTGCATTATTCTTTTTGAGCTTCACTTTGGATTTGAAAAGTTATTACGGCAGAAATGGGACATAAATCAAAGGTATTTTATTACCCTATACAAAAATGATGTAATGCACTGCAAATATTTACACCAACTCGTAGTACTCTTGTTCATTTGGGCTGAGTGGCGTTCGAAATTCAAAATATTCTCGCATTTCAAAGTTTGAATCTATTCTAGTTTTATCGAGCCTAAAGGCTGCCCTCTGTAAGACCTGCAAACTAAAAAGCTAACAGGGCAGCTTTTCAAAGCGTTTAGGGTCAAATATTTCCTTCCATACCTTATCTCTGCTGCTTCCCGCATCTCTGTAATGCTGAAAGGAGCTTTCATCATTATTGTAGTCTAACTTGAAACTTGTCACCCACTGACTATATCCGTTCCTTCGTTGGGTCCCTATGATTCTAATGTCGGTTTCCGAGCCTAGATTCACTTTGAGCCATTGACTCTGATTGTTAGCAGCCGCTGACCAAGCCCCCTGCTTTCCTCCGCCGACCTTGAAGTGCAGCCGGGCATTTACTGCAGCATGGTTCGCGTCCCATTGGGAAGAAGCAGTAATTCGGACGTCTCTAATGATTCCTCTTTCCATTCCTAAGGGTTTCTGACACGCTGGGAAAGATGTCGGAATGACACAGAGATAGCATTGCATTAGCTTCAATCTATTGTTATAAAAAGCTCAAAGCTCAATATGTATAATCAATAAGTAATTAGTTTTGTATCGGTCATAACTTTATCAATGGTAGGTGTAATGATAATTGAAAATGAACAATTTAAGTATGATCGATGGTTAATTTCTGATTTATTAAAATTCACTTACTATTGGGCTCGTATGTTATTTTGTCACAAGGTAACTGTTCAATTTTAGAGAGAAAAATATGGAAGTCAAGAAAAAAAATAGGAGAAACGGGTTGCAAGTGATAACTAGACTTGTCATATTCCACGGTAAAGCGCTTGAGCACAGGTAAGGAGCTGGCTTCTTTCTGCAGGGCGCTTCCCTTCGCCATTTTCTTTCAGCTAAATTTCGAAAGTGTTTGGTTCCACTATAAACCCTCTCTTTGGAAAAAAAAATTTGGCTGGCAAAATGAAGAGTTTATTGCAAGTAACTTCTACTAAAAGCTCTACTTGAGAAGGAGGATTGTAAATGAGAAAATACATCCAGCAAAGGCATCTAGACTGATCAGTAATCAACAAGTTATATATTTTTTCGTCATTACTCTAAGTGAGGATTTCTTATGCGGAAGTTCCATTAAAACGCTCTGAGAAAAATTGTCCAAATTAAACAACAACCTTAGGTAGATCAGGATACATAATGGACAGGTTTTTATTGCTCTAGAGAAAATTTCAGTTGAGTATATTGGTTTTGCTTCTCTTTACTCTAATTGGTCGACCTAAAATATACACTAT